TAGTAATAATGCGTAAATCGAAATCTCTAGGAATACAATAATATTGTTATCTGCGAATGAAATTACCGTTGTCCAAGCGGCAATATAATATTACAATATAGACTTACTTATAATACTTATATAGTCGTATACCAGGTTTTCGGTATTCGGTATTCGGTATGCGCGCACCAAATTATAAAATTATTTAAAATATTATCGTCTTGACAACGAATTTTACGACTCTGAAGAATCGTCCAGCGGTGGTCGTGTTCGATTCGAAAAATATCCGACAACAATCGAACAATGACCGGTGCAGCGCAGGATATAATAATATAATATTGTGTCTTTGTCGCCGGTTTTCCGAAAAAACGACCGCGTAAAAATGCATTATGCATTCGAGAAATGTCCGACGCCTGACCGCCATACGATTCCACCGTCGTCCGGCCCACTTGTAGCGTATACATAATTTTATAATATACAATATACGTGTGTATTATACGCGATGTGCTGTAATTCGTCCCACGCCGATCGTCGTCGTTGTTGTCGTCCTACACTCGTGCGTTCTATAAATGGTAACCCTCATAGTCTGCTCTCCTCCTCTCAATATGTTTCTCTCCGTCTTTCCACAGCAGTCGAATACAAATAAAATTTTTTCGAACCGTTAATTTGCCATTCGACAGTGGCGCACGTGTAATGTCTCGGAAATAAATATTTAAAAAAATAAAACGACGCGCACATTTGTGACGTATAACATATAATATAATATAATGGAAACTATTACCTATATATTGCATATAATGTTTTTTTACTGATTAAAATGAAAATTCTTATAATGTTATAAAAGTTGTTGGTCACGGACGCGCTAGTTTCGTCGTCTGTACAGTGATTAGCAAAGTTATTATGTATTTATTCTATTGACTATTACACACTTCTTTTTTTTCCTTAACGCGGCATTCAGGAACCATGCATCATTTATATCATCGACATTATGGTAGTCAGCTAGTTTACTTGACCAAGGATTTTCCAACGAATCTCACTACAATAGTAATGTATATCGTATAATGACTTAATCTAGAAACACACTATTTACACAATATGGTATACCATATACTAGCGATAGACTAAAACGATTATTTTTCGGTCAGGTATTGGCAGGCACAGAACATCGTTCATAAGTTCATTTGTTTTTTATGACCATAAAGTAAAAAAATGTAGTTTTTTTGCTACCGTGTATAATATTATAAAATATAAATGCCGACCACGACTAGCATGTTAATTGTAACGGAATACCGTGCCAATCATCTACATATCTACCGTCTGTCCATCTATACGGCCTATGTATATATAAAAACACGTAGTATATTATACTATATATAGTATGTCTACACGCATATACAAACAACGCGATATTATTCTAATATACAATTATTGTTATATTTATGTACCTACAACAAGTTGGCAACAAACCTATAACTGTATGGGAAACTTTCGTTGTGAAACACGAACACGTGCGACGGGTGTGGCGGGAAAGCGGATATATGCACTTGCAATATCATACTATAATACCAATACATATAAACATGTATTACACACACACACACACAACATACTTGTCTACGGACTATGTCAAAAATGAGCATACACAGAACACATATACTCGCACTTATATTTATTATATATAACGGCCATTGTTCCGATGTGAACCGCGGGGAGATTTTGTCCTGTGTTGCAACTGTCACTCGAGCGTGTATAGTACATTACATTCAGGATGATTCACCAATTTCAAACGAGTTGTTTTAAAGTTATTAAAATTCGTATTATAAATTATGTAGTTGTTATTGTTTTTGTTTTATGAATTCTTATACTTATGAGCTGATTGCGTGTATGCCGTGAGAGAAATATTCTGCAGCTCTATACATTGTACGCGGTTTATGCGATTATTATTGCTACAGTTTTTGTATTATGTTATACATATCTTTGTGGCTAAATGAAAAAATATTTGGGAACGTGGCCCCCTTTTTTGTGTATCGGGCTGATTTTGATGTAATCTTCTTGATTAAAAAATTATGCACCATTTCGAAAGTCGATCGTCATTCGTCAGTGACGGTGGTGGCGATGGTGGATGGGCTGAAATGCTAGAAGATAGCGATAAATATTATACTCTTCTTCCTATAATATAATCCTATACTTATATTATGTATAAAGTCACCAATAAACAATATATTATACTACAATGACTACACATTATTACAGAACGCGTAATGCGTAGTATAAATTTATATATTTATAACAAACTTACGCCCAATGTAATTTATACACATATTGACCATAAACAAAAAATAAAAAAATATTGAAAAATTAAACAAGAATAAATTTGTGAAGAATTAAAAAAAATAAAATAAAAATGTTATTTTTATGAGTGTATGAGGAGCGATCTTTCAAACTTGCCAATTCCATAATACGTTTCATAAAATGGTTTGTTAATTAAGACATTTAAGTAATTGTTCCACAGTAAGAAATAGGTTACTTTACAGCTATAGTAATACTATGATACCTACTCAATATAATTACTAGGTTTTTCGAAAATTATAACGCCATTGGACTTAAAAATTAATAATCAGCGAGATATATGGATATATATGATAGACGATAGAATATGACATATTATGGGAACGATGATAGTCATCCAAAAAACGGAAAAATTAAGTTTAATTTAAGCACTGGGTCACTGGGAATAGAGATATAGTTATGAAGAGGAAAATAATGTTAGTTTGATTATTATTCTTATATTTTTACTGTCACTAAAATAATATTTTCAATATTTAGTGATACGTTTAAGTTATTGGGACACATCTTGATCACCGTAATATTATTTACAATTAATTCCTTATAAGTTATAAATATATATTTTTTTGGTAGACATGTAACATGCAACCTATATAACCACCTAACCTTCTGCATTGCACTACGCTATAGGTGCGTCGCTGCATAGAGACCTTCGTGGACATCGCAGCGAATAGAACGAAAAAATAAATAACCGTCACTATATGTACTGTAGCACAGGAATATATAATAATAATATAATTATTTTAGCGTTCAGCAATTGGGAGTGAGGCCGCATGTTTTCTTCACACGAACCGAATTATAATCACGAACTCGGGCGCACGCGGCTGGGAAAAAATTAAGGAAAAAAATTGTAAACGAAATATGTTTTTTTAATGCATTACGTAATGCGACCATGCAACTAAAATAGACTTTATATAGGTACTCATAGACCGGCTTTGTAAATTCATATCGGATCCATGATAAAAGAAGTTGGTGGTAGTAACAAGTATAACTTACTATATATAAATATAACTGCGTTTGTGCATCGATCACTCAGTCAATTATTCGAGCGCTTTATTTCGACTTGCGACATTTAATAACTGCAGTTGACGACTAGACGTTCGCTACTACTTTGGTGAGACTTTTGATCAAGTACATTAGTGTTGTGACGCCGTTGTGAGATATCATCGATTCTGCGTCATATGACTTACATTATGATCCATAGAATAATCGACCATTCGATTCCGCCAATTTGAAGCTGGGAAAATTATAAAAAATACAAATTTTAATTTCATCAAATGATTTTCAATTGGCATAGATGATAGATATTATTAATAATATAACATAATACACAGTTTTATTATAACATTATACAGCTAACGTTTGTTTATGTTTATTTACTTAAAAGATAACTGAATGTGATTAATCAGAAGTCCTTCAAAAACTATAAACCGGGGAGTAGTTTCCGTTGCGGTCTTTGTTTTGACCTCGGTCGAGCTTTCGTTGGAATAATATATGATATTATATTAACGTGTATGTATAAAATAATATTGCAGCGTTCTACATCAAATATATTATAATGGTTATTTCGTATAAGTATATCGTCAAGACCTATTTCTTGTTATAAACAGGACCGAAATAATAATTGGGGAAACTTTGGAGAAATATGTACTTAAACCGTAATGATACTGTTTTCGCACAGACGAGTGAACGATTTCTTGTGCGGTGATCAACGGTACGTAACGATAATAATTACAAATGCGCGTATATTCGTTTTCACACTTTCGCTATCTGTTTTCGGTAACACACACACACACACACATGTGAGCGAGCAATTCCGAGAACGTAAGATTATTATTACCATTTTATTATTGAATAAAAATCTTATATAGTCCTTTACGCTACAAAAACGTGACCTTTTCTTCAGATGTGCTCGTGCCGCATTACTATATATACACTATACACTCGTCGCGACACCATAATACGTCTTAAAACACACACGCGGCGTCGGAGAGTGCGGTCTTCGAGAATAATAATTGCCATGCCCGTGTAAATGATTCGAGTACCTATATAGGTACTACATATAGAAACGTTCTGCAGTGTTTGCGCGTAATTATTATATATACACGATTCGACGAGGATCTATATAGATCTATATATTATTATCTATAGAACATATTATAATGGGCCTTGGACTCGTTTATATCGTGTATATACCCGGTCGATATATTGTTGCATACAATCGACGCGATTGTCGACCGATCGGTGTGTATAATATATAATATCGACGTAGGTATACTTTTGTGTATAGGAAAATCAAACACACGACGTTTCTCGGAGATTATTATAATATAATATATCGTACGCGAGATCCGATCGAACTGTGCGCGGTTTATGCTGAGATCGCTTTTACGCGTGTCCCCCGCCCCCTAGAAGGTGCGCATTAATTATATAATATTATATATAGATATAAGTGCGCGTTTGTCGAAAAATAAACGCCCAAGCGATATCATATTATTATTATTACCATGCCATTGTTAATCCCACATACAGCCACGCGTATTTACGCAACATATACCTAACCGTTCGACGATCGAGAAAGTACATATTATTATAATATTATTTGTTGTTGTTAATATTATACATTATACTATAACTATACTTCACTAACCGGTACGATTCGTTTTATGTTACAGTTGTCCGTCGTTAGCAGTGCCCAACGACATGATATCCAGGCGCCGAATATTGTCCAGGTCCAGGGACGATCTGAACTTGGATTCGGGAGTAGGATTTCCCGTTCAAGTTGAAGAAGAAGAAGACGTGTGGTACAACAAGGACAAACTGTACAAGGTTCGTTTATCATATTGTTTTCGTTCAGAATACCTGCATGTAAATATAGACGACTTTAGGCAACACAAGTAGTCATAATCGGACGTTATAATATAAATATAATATAGCAGGCAATGTCTCCATACCAACCTCGTGATAACCGATTCCTTTATCGTCGCCGTTTGACTACAAATATGTTTCGCTTTTTAAAGTCGAATCATCGTTTTTATTATAGCTATTAGGTATATTAATATTTTCACGCCGCCCTCCTTTCACTTTTTGCACTCATCTCAGACAGATTCGACGTCGTGTATAATATAATATAAATATGATGCATGCACATCGTTTACATGTTGAACGCGAGCAACAACGCAATAGCGGGATATAATAATACTATGTTTATACATAGGTTTAACGAGATTCGTTCCGCGAGCGCCTCTCGCGTTTAAAAGGACGTGCTGACAACGACCTTGTCCGGTTAATTCCGTCGAAAACGACCGTTTTATTTAAATTTCCTGACCTGGAAATGTTAAAGTTTCTCGGTGGCGTTCTATCATGCATATTTGTATATTTAGTAATGAAATAATAATGTATGTGTATTATGTATATAAGTTATACACTAATAATTCTTCCTGGACACCGTTGATTTACAATTTTCAATTTATCTGCACATAATACTTATAAATGATTAAAAATGGTCTGCACGTTAGACTTCTGATAGGTCTCTTTTTGTTACGACGGCATGCAAAAATTATTATACTCCTTTTTGTTTGCTAGCTTTACATAATGAATTTGAAAATATGCCTATTTTAGTTTTATTTAAGAGAGTATTTTCAATACTTTATATGGTTTAAAAGACTTTCCTGCAATCAGAAGCAATAAAAACTTTTCAAATAAAATATAAACGATAAAAACGAATTAGTTTTGTTGGACAGATCAATATTCTACATAGTTTAAAGCAATAGCATGAAAATTATCATGGGGGAGTTTGGGTTTTAGGGGCATAAGAGCACATTTTTAGCATATTCCACACGTACCTATATACCTCGTGATGTTTTCCGTGAACATATCATACTAGCTGGGCGATATGTCAACTGTAGTAAACTGTAATCAACAATTTCGTTTTGAAACGCTTATTTACAAGTCACAATCCGCGAGAACTTGCCATTGTAGTCCGCTCAATGTCCTTGTGGGGCAGCGATAAATGTGGTCGACCAAGATTTCAAAACAAAATAGGAACTTATTTTTCAAACCGATCGTCGCGGAACGAAAAGGTCGCTACACCCGCATATTATTGTGTTGTCTTCGTCTTACAAATGCACAACATGGCAAATTTGAGTTAGTATTAGAGGAATACAGTCTATTATCAAATTTAAGTTAAAATACATTATCTAGAATTTTTATTAGTATTTTAATATTAAAGTAAGTGGTATAAGATATAATGAACAATATTTCTATTTTAAAATGCTCATAACAAGCTTTGAAATTTAAATATCATTAAAAGTTTACGTTTATATTAAATTAATTCACTCTAACATTTAAAACAACAACACGAAATTGATATTGCTGACTCCGATGTGCTATCTTGTATGCGTTTGTGTGACGGAAATAGCACGGGTGTGGGTTGTGGCATCCTCCGAATATAATAATAAAAATATTGTTCTTTACAACCCTTTCTTCGTATATGTTTTAATCTAACCAAACCTATATTATATTATGTGTTTATTTTATCAATATATTATAATTATATTATTTCGTAGTAGTAATTGTTATTATCATAAACATCCGGTATAATACTGCAGTGAGCTATAGTGTGTTAACGAGCGTCCCGGAGTTTTCCATCACAACTTTCGAGTTCAACGGTCATCACCATCATTGAATTATTCTCGTGACACTTAAAAAAAAATCAACATTCTTCATATAATTAAATAATTTTAATTGCGGGCGTTCACTCTTTATTTCGTTGCTGATAAACAACAAATACAAACACGTCGGATTTCTCTTATATTATTATTATTATTATTATTATTATATATTTATAATATACTATACGAACGAACGCGTTCGTTAGGTTTTCAATCGAAACGACGTCGTTGTCCCGAATAATTACGTTTTCACAACATCATAAAGTCCTTTATGTATACGCGCATGCTGTCAATTGGTGGGTAATAAATTCGTAGATTGCTGTTGGAGATGAGTTCTTAAGGCTGCAATAGTTTTTTTTGCCAAACGCATTGGTAATAATAATATAACAACAACGGATACAATGCGGTCATGGTTTGTCAAACGACGTTAATCGCGTTGTTTGTATACATTGTATTGATCGCGGTTGTCAAAAAAAAAAAAACAGTATAAACAGACAAAAAATTAGATTTTTGCTATAATCGACTGATCTATTTATACATCTAAGTAGTTAGTACATAATATTCACTATACATAAGAATGTAAAATTTGGTACACTTTGTATTCTAGTATAGGTACCTACAATTCATTCGTTATAATTCTATGTTTTAATAACCGGTGCTGGCATTCGACTATAGGCCGGTGTTATTATTATATCAAGCAACGGGTGTTAAAATCGAGATATTCTTATTGAAGTTTTAACCATATATTATTATTATATGAAAATAACTTCAAGCGTCTTATAATAGGCTTCCTTTATACATAGACGTTTCGAGTATAAAAAACAAGTCTTCTTCTTGTAATCAACTATATACTAACACCCCGCCGATCTTCCCGATTCCATGACCACTAAACGCTGTACGTGCCTATCGACAGCCATCCTGATACAATATTTATAATAACTATTATAGATTGTTGTTGATATTATAGTATAAGTAATAGGTATACAGATAAGTCTAATAATAATAACTCATAGAACTGCTGCTGCAGTATAATATGATAATCGTCGTTGTAACGTTTATTGAAAAATGTATATTACACGGCGAGCGCTTACCTATTTATATAGTCATCGTGTAAACGGTTTATACATAATATCATTATAGAAGTCCAAGTATGATGTTTAATATCTTATTATAATTTCTATTATATAACGCGAACTCGGTTTATGAATTTTTTTCGCTTACTATCCCTACCTGCTGTAGGTACTGTATATTATGTACATATGGTTTTTTCTTTCATAAAACCGTTTAGAATAATAATGAAGAGAAAAAAACACCGTACGCTGCCGCCGATGTTCGTCAATAATGTATACGTGTATACCATTGTTCTCGGTACAACAATAAATATATTATTGTCTCTGCGACGATCACGGTGAACTCGACGTATATGGAGCTTTGGTATATTATTATTGTGCATGTAGTACTTTTATATTATTGTATACCGATGGCGTTTCTACGTGAAAAACCCATAATATATGTATATGGATACGAGCTGCGCATGCGCGAGAGCGAGTTTTATTTCCGACATTTATGCCTTCTCTGCTTGTTGTTCCGGTCCGGAAGGACGCGTGAGCACGTTGCGAACGACGGACGTCATCGCGTCTCTGTCGGAAGGAGAGTTCCGTGTGATCTACGGGGGGTGGGAAGGGAATCTTGCCCGAGCAGCAGCAGCCGGACCACCGACCTTGGTGCGACAGAGGCCGAGGAAACGCGCTCGGCGGGTGAAAGTACTTTCACCACCGTGATGTTACGCCGATCCGCACAATTAACCACCGCGCCATGCTCTCTAGAACGTTCTAACGAGAGTGTATACGGCTCACACATCACACACGTGCTCCCGCCAAAAACTCACATTCGAGACTGCTTTTCGCAGACTACGCAGGATATCATCTCGTAAAACACTTATTAGACTTAATGTATTAACATTATACACCTTCGTTTCGTGGGGTGCGTAACTTTCAAAAAAATTTTTATTCAATTCCATTGCCACACGCTGTACTACCGCCGCCATCGCTACCGTAAAGATTTGCTGACTTGCTTCCAAAATCCGCCCACGAGTTTATCTTGACACGGCGCGTACGTGTACATTATAATATGGAGCGAGGTCTAGTCCAGCACGAAATTCCGCGCGATTGTTTCCATTACTTTATGTACGAGTGAGAGTACCCATTATAATGTCGACATAAATCCTTCGACATTTTTCTCGCCCGCACGTTTAACCCGCAGGTACTTTCACGTTTTCCATCGATGTTGCGCGAAAATTTTTTAACAACTTTTTCCCGCTTAAAATAATTTTTATTTTCAACTTTTTGAGTGTGAAATTGATGTCCGTCTACCCGTCTACTACTGTTAAGTAAATGTCCATGAGCACGCTGTAGTAATGACAACAATAACAAAAAATTAAAATACACAACACGCAGTATGTTAAACCCAACGCATATATTAACAAAAAATTCCACGTTGAACTCGTTGAAGATGCGGCGGTTACGGTTTTGATTATCGAACACGTTGCGAAACCCTGACAATGTCAGGGGTGTCGAAAAACATATGTGTACACGCGAGACCCCGATATCGAATAGGCAGTACGTATTATGATGTTATTGTTTTATTGTTTATAATATTATATATCCTTTGCACGAACGCCGACCTTGAGAAGAGGAGGTGCGACAGAAGCGGCAATAATAAAATCTCTTAAGGCCGCTGACGCCATGTACCGTAATAATAATATTGTTATTAGTATTGTTATCTTACGCATAAAATACAATTATATTATAAGACCCATGTTTATATATAATGTTATACGTATATGCAGAATCGTGGAAACCCGATATATACGCATGTCGCATACACATCATACACAATATACGTTGTTTTCGTTCGAATAAAATGACAAAAAAATGTAAAAACAACAAAAACTTCGGCAAACAACGCGTATTATGTATTTGAATGTCTATTTAATATCATGATGTATACTAGCGTACATGACGTTCATTGTACATATAGGACGGAATTATAAAGTAGGTATTGTACACATTATAAACAGACCGATCTTTTCACTTGGCGATTTTTAGTCCAAGGCGACCTCTGTTGCTTATACGAGTAGTGTGTGCAGTAACGTTT